AGGGTAAAAAACAATGGAGATGAAAAAGAGAAATCCTCATACCAATAGTGTGTATATAAACCATCTTTAAGTTTGCTATGATTAATGATTTTTATTTTATCTGAGCACCTCTCCACATGACAAAAACAATCTTAATTTTTCCTTTGGGAAAAAAAAATATTTGCTTTTGACTTCAAACCTTTGGACTGGTCCACTAGCTCCCCCCGGGCATCTCACATCCTTTACCTACACTTTGTCACTTATTCCAAAGCCTCTAAAATAATGTTTTTAGTATGATCAGAAAAACTTGTCGCTCTACTCTGGAGAGAACATGAACACTCTGAGAGCTACAGAACAGCAATCCTACCTGCTTCCTCCCCCGAGGCAGCGTGGCCACTGTGTCTGCCAGCATTTGAATTCTTCTGTTATCGTCCATGGTCAGGCTGCCGGGGAGCGCGGTGGAGTAAGGGCTACACGCCAGGCCAGCACCATAGTCCAGCAAGTTGCCATTGCTGCTCTGCTGCAGTAGCCTTTGTAAAGACATTGTGAACAAAGATGACTCCAGTTAGCACATGGCTGAGTGGCCTTGCAAGGATGAGAGAAGCTAAACACACAACCGTCTGACAAGTAATCAAAAGCAGCAAAGGAGGAACGCCCACGTGACTCCTGTGGTTTGAGGTACTTGTTACACAAACCCTCTTACAGTTCACTCCCATTTCTCAGTGCCTTTTTTTTTCTTTAAGTTCTTGGGAGAACCTCAAGCTCATTTTTACAGTTTAAGACATCCACTTTTCCCCCCTCACACAGCCAAAACTTTGCGCTTTCATGCTCTATGGTAAGTTGTGTTCAAAACACCATCTGCTATTTTTTTTTTTAAAGAAGAAAGAAAAATTTCCACAAGTTCTGCCGTTTGTTTCCCATTCATTCACTGGCAGGGCAATGCAAAAGTCAGGGTATGAGGACATCCAGTTCTCGTGACGATAAGCGAGAATTACAGGTGTGGTCCTAACATTCTGTCACCAAGTCCTTGTAATGTACTTTCTCCAAAGTATGCCCGACCTCCTTAATGTTCATCAAAAAGACATTATAGCTGCCACTCGGCTTGTAACCGGTCAGCATTCCTCTGCTTGCCTTTGTACCACTTAGTCCTTCTTTACAAGGTGATGGGAAGGAACAGCCAGCACGTTTAGGGGGTGATGTTGGCCATAGACAGAACGCCACCAGGGAAAGGTCCCTGGGGAGGAATGGAGTGGGCAGGACATAGCCCGCAAACCAAGGTGGCACAGGACTGTTGCCTGTGGGTGTTAGTGTGAGCACATGCCTCCAGGACACCACTGCAAAGCACTCCGGGTCGCTGATGCTCTTTTTGCCGGAGTCAGAGTCAAAGACCTGTAGTTTTGAGGGCACTGGTTTCAGGGGAGGAGTAGGAAAGGAAAGCAAAAGAAAGAATCAAAATAAAAGTCAAAAAGAGAAGTTTCCTATGGCCCCAAAGTTAAATGTGCTTTTTAAAATCTTTAAAATTTGAAGGTCAACACTAGAATTTAAGAGTTAGAAAATCTTTGAACTTAAGTGGAATGTGTGTATACTGCAAGTCAAGGGGAATTCAACTCAAGCAGAATATAGATATTCTGTTTTATAGATATTACATATTATGGCATATTATAGCAGAGAGAGATTGATTTTATATATCTTTGTAGGGTATGAAGAATGTAACTTAAATTAACACTATTAATGGAGATAACAGTCCACTGTCCCCTAGAAATCTAATAAAGTTAGGTAAATATTTTTAATATTATCAAGTACTAGATGGAAATTATACATTTGCCTAATATAAAGCCCCATAGGCCAAATAATATGCCTACTTTATAGATGAGTACTAAAATAATATCAATTCATTGTTACACTGATTTGAAAGTGATATAAATTATAGAAATCTATCATTAAATTAAGAAATTGGAAAAAATATTCATTATTTAATTTATAACATGTTTTAATGTGTAAGCTCTTTCTAATCATGCAACCCAGGGTTATAAAATCAGAGTGAAAGGCAGGTCTGACATTCAGTCAACACACATCATTGTGATCACAGCTGTTATATTTTTATGGCTTAGTCTATTTGTATTGGTCATTTTTACGATTTCTGTGTTCTGATTGTCTGGACCTGTGTCATACCAGTTACTAAATATTTTTAATATCCTCAAAAGTGTCCTTTGTGATAAAATGCCAGACACATAACTTTTTTTAAATTCTTTGACTCTTTATTTTAATCAATATAATCTGAGTGTGCCACAGAAGTTTAACTATTCATTCACATGTGCCTGAGATGCCTGAGATTGAAAAACACTGATCTATAGCATCTGCTGAAACTGTACACAACAATCTTCAAATGCTCTCCAGCCAAAAGAAAACACAACAAAGTCATGAAAAGGTTAGTTAGCTTTAAAATTAACAAATAGTTTTCATTTTTTGAAATCATTAAGTATATAGTAGTTAGATTTTTATAAAATAATGTATATTTTTAAGAATATCTAATTAAACTTTCTCGAATGTGGCCTTGTTTGATCTTAGCTAAATTGATGCAGCCTTTCTAACATGCAAAGGTCCCCACCCCTGTATTAGAGCAACTTTCTCTGTTTCCCTGCCAAGTTCATAAGCTTCTTGAGGGCAGGAATGACACTTCACCACATTTGTGTTTCCCAGCACCTAGAGAACGCATGTGCTAAGCATTGCTAAGCTTTTTCGCTTGCTTTTAAGAAACTTAACTTTTAATGGAAACATTCTTTTCAAACATCAAACCCTTGACTTACAAAGATGTTCTACTATTCTAATAATAATAGGTTAGACACGCTTCCCCTTCAGCCTCCCCTATATTTCAGGAAGTGATTCTGAAAATGAATCAGATCAAGCTACATACATACTCAAAAGGTTTCAAGAGTGTCTCACTGCCCACAAAATAAAATAAAAGAATTCCATGTTCTTATGTGAATTCATTCTTAAAAATGTCATACTTTTTTCGCATCTTTGCTTTGAAATTTAACCTAGTATAGTTAAGTGTCTACAAGTCTAGTCCTCTGCTGATGTCTAATTTCTCCTAGTTTAGTTGAGAACTAGAGTCATCATTTATCTTTAAATTTATTCTTTATCCTACATATTAAATTCTCCAATAAATGGTAAATATAAGAAAAGGGGATAAGTAGTAGATATTGAACAAAAGGAATGAAACAATATTGTTCCGAAGCATCAGAAAAGTTTTCAGTAAAGAAAACCTAAACTGGCAGGAAACAGACGCTATAAGCTCATATTCCCAAGGGCTACAATATTCCCTTACTAGTTATCTGAGAGGTAAGGACAGAATCTCTTTAAAAATATATTTTCATGTGTTCTAAAACTAATATTCCATTATTGGAAGAGGGGAACAATTCCTCTTATTTGGAACATTTTGTTCATAAATACATAAATACTCTCGAAAGGAATCAATCTTTAGTACAAATGAGATGAACTCTGATCTTAAGACAGTTTTTGAGTTTTTGTTTGTTTTATTTTTGCAGTTTGCCTTTATTTGCACAAGAAGACTTTGTTCTGTTCCTGGAATATCATGGGATATTGTTTTGATCGGTTTGATTTGGGTTGCTTGTTTAATTTTGGCCTTTTGTCTTTATTTGGGGAGGAAGCCTTTATTTGGTTTCCTGGACTGATGAAGGAGATGTGTTAAAGTCTCACAGACAGTGTTTGAATACTGAGTTTATATAAGGTAAATTTAGTTTAATAAGGTTATACTCATATAGAAGGGCCCACTAACTGTGGCAAATGCTTTATCCTATTCATTACCCTATTGGAGTGATTGAGCTCAATCACTCAGTAGATAGAGGCTCCAATCTTCCCCAGTCTCTTAGTGTGGATCACTGAGATCATAAACACCATCCCCCAAAGAGGAGTGGCCCTCTTCAGAAAAGGGTAAACCAAAGCTCTATGACAGGATTGGTTTCTAAAATTAGCTAACCCAGGAGAGGAAAATAAAATAACAGCAGCAAAGATCATAAAGGTCCTATACACGTATTAGAAATGCTAGCACGAATACAAATCAAATACTACGTATTAGCTTGGAATCGTGACAGACATACTTGAAACTAAACAAAGAAAAACTTCATACAGATGATAGTTTGACAATAGACCATATCCATTGGAAATATTACTAAATAAGTTATTAATCAACTAACCTTAAAAGAACAACAGCTACTTTGGGGAGACGGGTAAGGTATTATCCTCAAGCAAGAAAAGTATTTCGGGAATAAATGGTCAACCAATCATATTCTTTTAAGGTTACTTGATTAATAACTTATTTAGTAGTATTTCCAATCAAGTATAAACCTAAAGGTTAAGATTACATACACGCACACACTCTGCGATAACAACCATGAAATAAATAGATTACTATCAGCCACACCTAATAAAAATTACTTTAGTAAAGTGCTATTTTTGCCTTCAAAAACAGGAATAATTTATTGAAATGAGTTCATTCATTTGAAAACCCATTGGAGTCAAAGAGCAGGAACTGAGAAAGAAAATAAAATATATAGAAATAGATGTATAGATAGGAGTGTTTGTATGTGTGCATCATGAGATACAGATCTTGAATATATTAAAATTATAGAAGATATTATAAAAGTAGTCAAAGCTCTATCCTTTAAAAAAATTATAAGATCCAGCTTATTTTACCAGTCTTATACCAAATTTTTAAGATACAAATTAGTCTTTTATAAATTATTCCAGAGCATAAAACTAGTTCTTTATAAAGTAACTAACCTGGTTCCAAATTGGTCAAAAATGGTACAAAAGGCAGGAAGGGAGGGAGGGAGAAAAGGAGGGGAAGAGAGAGAGAAGAAAGGAGGAAATTCAGCCAATCTCACTTAGTATTACTGATACAAACATTTTAATTAAAGTATCAAATTGAATCTATCAGTGTATTAAAAATAACACCTTTCAACCAAGTAGGATGTCTTCCAGGAATTCGAGAACAGCTCAACATTAGAATATAAAATATTAATAGAAATCACTAAGTTTCTGTTTTGAAGAAGTTCTATGCAACAGATGTCAAAGCTATCACTATTTAATTTTGCTTTTAAAAATCCCAAGCTAAGGATAGAAGGAGAAATAGCTTAGCACAGTGAAGCATGTCTACCAGAAATACCTATCAAATATCACCCTTAATATTGAAATGTGTTTCTTTTATTGTAAGGAAGACTGTGATGATGACCACATCCATCATACTTTTCATGATTATACTCCATACCACAAATGAGAGGTGTGATTTTCTAAAGAAACAGAAAAGACTGTAAAGTCTGTTGATTTTATGGTTTTATACTGGATAATTCACAAAGAACAGATTCAGCAAGAATTTTTCAAAGTGGATTCAAAAGACAACACATAAAAATAAATAAATTTTGTATGCAACAGAGACAATTATAATGTTGATTAATATGATAATAAATACATTGTATTATAATAATAGCATGATGTTATGAAAGGACATAATAATGGGGGAAAGAAACACTGAAATAGTCAAAACGCCATAGGAATGAATCTAGCAAGCATTTTGAAGACTTAGAAGAAGAAATGATAAGTCCAGACTAAAGGAAAGGCATGCCGTGTTCTAGTACAAAATG